ACTAAAGGGGTTATGGTACAGAGTCAGGTGCCAATTCACGCATTTGCTCCGATGGCCCCACAGACAACCCTTGAAGCCTTTGTACGCGATTATATTAAAACCCAGGAGGGAGGGTTAGCAAAAAAACAAAGTAATCAAATCTTCTTGGAATATCAAGATCCATGGAACTTAATGTGTTCCCTCCTTGAGGAAGAAAAGTTAAAGAAAAAACCTCAAGAGGTAAAAGAAATTAGCCATGGATTGTGTATATACTGCATGTAATGCGCTGGGAAGAAATTTGAAAAAAAAAAATAGAACAGTTGGATGAGGAAAGACAAGATTTATTCCAGGAGCAAGGGTAAGTGTTACATTATGGCCTGGTCTATATTACAGAGTTAGGTTGACAAAAGGCAGCTTATGTCTACCTAACTATGTAAGTGTCTACACTACAGTGATGCTCCCACTGATAGAAGTCGCCCACTGCATCGACTTAATAACTCTACCTCCACGAGAGGCGTAGCGCATGGGACAATGTAGTGAGGTCTGTAGAGTGAGTGCAGTGTCTGTAGAGAATGCATTACTTCCATTGCCTGTTGGCTGTCAGCCCCACCTGGGGCTGACAGACAGAACTCCCCCTTCTTCCCTAGCACTTACAGCCTGAGCTGTCAGCCGAGCATGGCTGTCAGCCCTGGGGCAAGGGGGCTCCAGCTGTCAGTGCCCCACTGAAGACTTCAGTCAGGGACATGTACTGCTGACAGAAGGAGCATAGTGGGGACGTGAACTACTGCTTTAATTACTGTAGCGGCTGTACTTCGACTTAAGTCGACTTCATTTTGCGGCATAGAACCGCTTAGTCAGACACGGGAAGTAAATCCCAGGCTCCTCTATCAAAGAGGTAGTCTTGCAAGAGAACAGGCTTCCTGTAAACAGCAATTACAAAAAGATGGTTATGAAGTTATGATGTGGAAGAGGGAGCAACAATGGATCAGATTCTGTCTGCCAGAATCTTGTTTGGAAGCAGGTACTGCTACAGACCCCTCTTGCTGTAGTTAAACACTTGGCCCTGAGTAAGTTCATGCTGTTCAATAAATGATTTGAAAGTGTTTCTAAATTCACCAGCGGCATTCGAGTCAGCTGTCAGAGGATCTCCTTGCATCGCCAACTGCCATATTCTATGCTGATTTTTGAACCAACTCAGCTACCCTGTTCTTGCTTTAAAATGGTCTGCACCTTTGTCTGGATACATTTCCTGATAGAGTAACTTTGCCTTTTCTGCAACCATCACACCACTTATAGGAGTGCCTTTTGAGCTCTCTTGTGCAAACCACAGATGCATTGTCTTATCAAAATCAGCAGCAGCTTTGCGTACAATACACCTGCTTTTTACTGCTCCTTTGTCTTTGGCTTCTTTTGGAAATGGGTTTATTTTTTCCTGGCTTATCTGAATACCAGTGACAGTTGATTTCCCAATACCATATTCTACTGCTATGTTGCTGAGGCTAACACCATAATCAAGATTTTTAAATATTTCTAGCTTTGTGTCAATTGAAAGTGTAACACGTTTGCACTTCCCGCTGCTTGTCATTTTGCTTAGTCATACAGTACAGTACTGGAAATCATTTCAGAGGCCAGTGAAAGAGCTCTCAAATATGCTTGTACTGCAAGGCCAATAACATGTCACATTAAACTTCCCAAGAAGGTTCCTTCCTTACATCCAAATATAGGACAAGAACTAAGGGTAAAAATGTCAAAGGAGTCAGATGTTCTCCCAATACTACCCCTTTGCTCTACAGTCAGTGTCTTCCAGCTGAGGCTGGGAGAGATCTTTGCAAAGGCAGCATCTGGCACTAAGGAACCTGGAGGCACTGTCTGGTTTGCAAGCAGCTCTCTGCCCTATTCCTGTTTCTTGCCTCTGAGCTGAGCAGGCGGTCCTGCCCCTCATCCTTGGTGCTACAGGCCCAAGCCCTGTGCTGCATCTCCCCAGGGCTGCACTTCCTGTCCCATAACAGAGACAATACAAGGCAGGGAGCGGCCACCAGCCCCCTGCCAGTGCCCCTCCCTCCCCCACCTCTCGCACTCCCAGAGCTGCTGGCAGGACCCTGGAGTGCAGCCATGGGCAAAGCCTGGGCTGCATCAGTGTATGTGTGGTTCAGGCTGTGGTCCTTTTAAACTGAGATGCTCCTCCCGAGTGCAGCATGCCAGCAGCAGCTCCAGCTCCGGCAGCTTCCTTGCAGCATCAGCAGCTCACGCTGTGGCAGCTTCTTTTCTGGGCTCAGACTGATCTTGCAAGCTTGTCTCCCTCCTGGCCAAAGCGGGGCGGGGGGATTTGAAAGCAGCACCCACAGCTTACAGAAAAGTGGCACAGTCCCCAGCGCTGTTCCTGCTCTGCCTGCTCAGGCTGTCTTGGGTTGGCAGCAGGGGCTCACAGCTGTGCCGTGAACCGCAGCATCTTTGCCTCCTACCTGTAAGTAGGCTGCCCCCTTCCCTCCCCCCCCCTCCCCGGCTTGGTGAGCGGGGGTGGGGACAGGCAGCCCAGATGTGCCGAACTTTAAGATGCAATACAGGTATTTGCTTTTTTTTTCTCCGCTGCTGCCTGATTCTTACTTCCGGTTCCGCATGGTGTCTGGTTGACTGATCAGTCCGTAACTCTTATGTTTGTATCGTTGTGGCTCTACTGTACAATCAGGATAACAACATTTCATTACCCCTGCATTCAGTACTAAAGCAAATTGATCACACTGGCAAAATAGGTCTGTCCGCTGCAGGGGCGCCAGAACAGGAGGGGCCAAGAGGCCATGGCCCTCCCGCTCTTGAAAGTGGATGTGCCTGGCCTGTCCACTTTTTGCCACGGGCCTGGCTCTCTGCCCGTCCTCTTTGCCCCAAGGCCCTGCCCCCCTGGCCAGGTCAGAAGCTGGAGCCCAGCCCGGGTAAGAGCAGCCTAGGGAGTCCAGGGAGCTGTGGAGAGCCACGGACCCTCCACCTGCCCAGGAGCAGCCCCTGGCACATGTCCCCACCCCCAGCACCCTCCGCCAGTGCAAATGGAGAGTCTGTGGCTCCCCACATCTGCCTAGGCAGCTCTTACCAAGGCCCAGCTGTGGCTCTTCAACTCCCGAAGCCCTGCCCCCAAGCCAGGCCAGAAGCCAGATCCGGGTCAAGGTAAAAGCTGCAGACTCTCCAACTACCCTGGGTGGGTGGCCCAGCGGACGAGAACACAGGCTGGGGGCTGCTCTTGGGTCCCCCATCCCATGCAGGTGGAGGGGCCCGGGCTCCCTGGCCTGCCTCCGGCTTCTAGCTTGGCTGGGGGGCAGGGCCTTGGAGGAAGGGGCACGGCGGGGCCACAGAGGGGGTAGGGCCTCGTGCCCCTTCCTCCCCCCCCCCCTTTAGGAAGAATCCGTTGCCCCTGGTCTGTTGCTCACCTAGGCAGAGTAGCTGTGTGCAGATATGGTCTGCTCCTAAGGTCTTTTACCCCAGTATGTCACTACGTGTCAGTGGAGAGCTCCTTCAGACCCCGCTTACACTGGCAAATGTCCATCTATTCTTATTGCCCAGAGGCTGTTTCCTTGAACTAGCCTCTTTTGTGCCCAGAGTCGATTGAGCTTCTCACTTCACGTCTGGCTAACTTAATGGGTATGGATAAGGTGGAGGGTGTCAGCCACACACCTGACTATAGTAGCAGTCCAAATAACTGCACTCCATAAGCGGGCAGCCCTTATATGAAGCATCAATATTTCCTGTGGTTTCCTAGATATAGAACTGTCCAATAATTTCTCTCTCCCTGTGTCCATGTTGTCACAGAATTCGGATTCTCTGTCATCTTGTTTACCTCAGTATGGTCCATGGAGCTAACCCCTTGTTTGGGCAATTTGGCATCACTAGATACCATACAGACCTGTAGTCTTGCTACAGCCTCATTGGTAGAAATTGACTGAAAGCTCTGGACCCAGCTTTGTACTCCTATCAGGCAAGATCCTTAGAAATTATTCCAGGACTATAAGGTCCACTGCCTTATCCAATGAGTTCCTGTTGGGCTGCAACTATTGTGTTGCCAGGTATCATAGCCATGGTGCCACCAGACTAGAGTGTATTGCTCTGGGAAAAGGTTCTACCCTAACCTAGAGGCAGTGTGCTTCTGGGGTCAGCCACAGTCTATCCAGAATGGCCTCTTCTACCATTTGTATAGGAACTCACCAGCTCATCAGACAAAGGCTGGTACGATGGCTGAGCTTTTCCTGAAAGAAACGGGGCCGCTTGAGCTGCCCAGAAGGATTCAGACCCGCTATCCTTTCGAAGGTGCACAAAAACACTTTGGCTCATTGTCTGGATCCAATTTTGACAGGTCCAGTACTGATCTGCCAGATTTCAGTTCTCTGAAACCTGCCTGAGTTCCTGGGTACACCTCTTAAGACACAGCAGGAAATGTTTCTGTTGAGCCTGATAAGCCTATTGTTATTGTGAACATAAGAAAAGCAATACTGGATCAGACCAAAGGGCCCACTAGCCCAGTATCCTGTCTTCTAACAGGGGCCAGTACCAGATGCTTTTAAGTTTATTTATCTGCTTTTAAATCTGTCATTATCCATCCTTTGCTAACTTTGCAACTAAAAAGATGAATATTTGAATCTTCCTTCACTTGCTAATAATATTCTTATTCAATTTCCATTTGATTAAAAGCATCTATCCCAGTCTCTAGGCATTTCTGTGCAAAATGTATACATATATACAGATAAAATCCCCACATACTATATGTTTACAGACACGGCAATGAAAAATAAATTGTCAAACTAAATCACACAAAGATTGAAAATACAGGCTTCCTTCCCCCAAGAGATTACTTTCCTCTTTTATTTTTAAGGCAGCAGCTGATATTGAAATAGGCATATGTTGTTTGAAATTTGGAAGGCAGACGATTAACAATAGCTAGACAGAGCAGCTTTAATAACTCAGAGAAATAATCAGATGGCGTAGGATCTTATTAATACTCTCATAACTATTTATTTTTGTATGACCAATGTTTTACTGATTACAGAATTTAAAAATCTGGTACCTGAGACTGCAAATCCTTATTTAAGCCAGTGTTCCCACTGCAGACAATGGGCATATTTATATCAGTAAGGTTTCGCAGGTTCCAGCGTCTAATCTCCCCAAATGTACATTGTCTTCTGAACATCTCACTGATTATTGTAAGAGCCACAGTGTATCTGAAAAGGAGAGAACTCCCAGATTCAGTATCCGTTTCTCTTATAAAACTTGGCTCGTGCAACGACATCATTGGCATAGTCATTGCCAGTTGTGCCAATATCCATTTTAGAATAGGTTTGGACATTCCTTATTCCTGCATTGTAGGCAGAAATCCCACCTGAAACAAAAAAAGGGAAATTTTTAAAAACAGACTTAAAAGAAAAAACAACAATTCCAGCTAGACCTGTCTTGTTTTTATCTAGTGTGTTAAAAAAATTAAATAAAGACATTTGGTAGGGCATGAATCGCTTTATTACAGAATTGAATAAAAGGAGGCTGTGTGAACAGTTTGCATAAATTCCTAAATTCACCCACAATCAGAGGGCTTTTGGGTTTTTACATAAACAAATAACTGTAGCTTGGTGAACCTTCAGTATGCATTTGGCTAACCACATTCAAATAGAAGCCCTCAATCTTTGAGCCAGGCCTGTTCTTAATAAAATATAAGAACCAATTACCATGTTACTTTTCGTTCAGTCCTGCAAAGAACTGCCTGGGAGAAAATTAAAACATGATCTCGCACTCCATTCTTCTTCTTGTTCTGAATCTCTGCTCCAGGTTGTACTGCATAATTTTGCAGTCCCCTGAAGATCGGTCCAGTTCCTAAAAATGTACCTCCTGCCCATGACTATAAAGATATACAGTGAACTTCGGGACTCATTCAAATAAACATTCCACACTCTCATCGACTTCAAAGGCACCAGGATTTCACTCATGGTGAAGTAGTAGAGGCCCAAATGTCAGTATAAACTAGACTGGGGGAGTGGGAATTATAAATATTCCCCATGTCACGTTGGAAACCCAGCACACAACATTGTGCTAAAGAATGAGACAAAATACTGAAACTGACTAATCTAATTTCACTTCCCAAACTGTGGGAAATCAAAAGCAGACAAACAGCACCAATGGTGAAAAATTATGATACTTAGAATATTAAGCATTCAAAACTATCAGTAACATAAGAAAAACTTTTAACATCATTTTTGTCCTAGAGTTTCCCTTAGCTCCTGGACTGAATGCCATCTATACTGTACCTTTCAGCTGTTGTTCCTTTGTCCATCTGGGGAACTTTTTCTGGATTCCCTTAATCATACCAACAAGGATGTCTGTCCCCTGAAGGACATGTGTCTTGCTATTCCATTTTCCAACCAATCTATGGTAGCGTTTATCAACCTAGAAGAGCCAGAGAGAACATTACTTCTCAAAAAGATGATGTGTTTATGCTGTTCTTACCTCTCAACATACTCTACATGACTTTAAATCTCTTAATCTGTGGTTGAGAAATTAATCAATTTTTCATCTTCATTGCATTTCTTGCTGTAATCCCAGTGCAACCACTGTGGTATTGTACATTGGACTGTGCTAATGAAAAGGGGTTTATCTGAAAATGCATCTTCTTTTCCATTTCAAGTTGTAGTTATTAATTACATTATTTGGCCAGCACTGCTGCAATGCCTGGTGCTGCAGTATATCTCCCCACTCTTCCTGCTCCAAGAAGCTTATGCTATAAGGGCACGATCCAGCAAAGCTCTATGTCTCATCCTTAAATATTTTAGTCCTCTACAGTACACCACTAGTATAAAAAGTAATACAAAAGTTCAAAAAGAAAACTCCCAGCACACTAAAGTGATTGTTGGATTATCACTGACAGGCTTGGCAGAAGCAGGCTGTGCTTTAATGTGTTAGGTGAATATTTTGAGTATCTATTGTTGTCACTTAGGTCTCTGTGACATTACATTGTGGATAAAGTCCATCCTGTCATTGTGGGCCTGCTAGTTTTCTCCTAGTCTCTTGGCCTGAGACTTTTCCCTGAGCAGCTGGTGCTGCTAAGAAATTGAATTTCTGGAGACCAGCAGGGGGGTGGATTAAAATGGCTACCTGAAGTCTCAACTCCGCGGGGATACCAAAGTAATCTGCCTCCATCAACCCCTAGACCTACTAAACTCTGCCCAAACTATGGAGCATAGGGTTGCAGGAGGTGGAGTCACCCTGAAAATTTAAAAGAATACCTCAGTAAGAGTGTTTCTGGCTCACAGCATGGAGAAACCTCTCAGATGCCAAATGAGCACATAGCGGCCGAATCAGGAAGAAATGCCAAGGACTGAAGAAAATCAAATGGCCACCAAGGTGGACATTTGGGGCTTGATCTCTGGGATTAATGCCATGAGAGATGAGCTGACAACCAAGCTTCTAGCAGTAAAGAAGGAAGTTACTGCCCTGGAAGATCAAGTCACTGTCCTAGAGACTGGCCTAAGAGAAGCAAGTGAGAGAGAGCAGCTGCAGAGCCACATGGCACTGATGGAACAGAGAGAAAGATGATATAGAAAACAGAGCATGAAGGAACATCAGAATTAAGAGTGCCTGAACATGCTGAAGGAGGAAACCCAATCCTGTATGTAAAAACTTTAATTTTGCGGAGTTGTGAAATCTGAGCTCTCTGGAAGAGGTGAAAGTGGAAAGAGCACGTAGGGCACTGCTGCCCCCAGTTTGGGACTAATAGTAATAGACACAGAGATTTTACGGTTAAATGTTAGCATTATCAGCAGAAAGATTTAACTATGAAAAAACCCAGAGAGTGTTTAGAACTCATACTCAAAGGCCTCAAGCTGCAGTTTTTCCATGACTTCTCTGCTGGGTGGCCACCCACACGCTCCTGGAATACTGGCCATTTTGGCACTTCTGGGAATAGTAAGGGCCTGCCACACCCTGCATGGCCCCGCCCATGTCTGCATGATGCGCGGGAGGTCACATATCATGAGGGAACGCCCCTGCCACCATGACCTTGTATGCAGAATGCATGGTACGTGCTGTCATAAATATAAAGGGAAGGGTAAACCCCTTTGAAATCCCTCCTGGCCAGGGGAAAGCTCCTCTCACCTGTAAAGGGTTAAGAAGCTAAAGGTAACCTCGCTGGCACCTGACCAAAATGACCAATGAGGAGACAAGATACTTTCAAAAGCTGGGAGGAGGGAGAGAAACAAAGGGTCTGTGGCTGTCGGTATGCTGGTTTCTGCCAGGGATAGACCAGGAATGGAGTCTTAGAACTTTTAGTAAGTAATCTAGCTAGGTATGTGTTAGATTATGATTTCTTTAAATGGCTGAGAAAAGAATTGTGCTGAATAGAATAACTATTTCTGTCTGTGTATCTTTTTTGTAACTTAAGGTTTTGCCTAGAGGGGTTCTCTATGTTTTGGAATCTAATTACCCTGTAAGATATCTACCATCCTGATTTTACAGGGGGGATTTCTTTATTTCTATTTACTTCTATTTTTTATTAAAAGTCTTCTTGTAAAAAAACTGAATGCTTTTTCATTGTTCTCAGATCCAAGGGTTTGGGTCTGTGGTCACCTATGCAAATTGGTGAGGCTTTTTATCCAACATTTCCCAGGAGAGGGGGGGTGCAAGTGTTGGGAGGATTGTTCATTGTTCTTAAGATCCAAGGGTCTGGGTCTGTAGTCACCTAGGCAAATTGGTGAGGCTTTTTACCAAACCTTGTCCAGGAAGTGGGGTGCAAGGTTTTGGGAAGTATTTTGGGGGGAAAGACGCGTCCAAACAGCTCTTCCCCAGTAACCAGTATTAGTTTGGTGGTGGTAGCGGCCATTCCAAGGATAACGGGTGTAATATTTTGTACCTTGGGGAAGTTCTGACCTAAGCTGGTAAAGATAAGCTTAGGAGGTTTTTCATGCAGGTCCCCACATCTGTACCCTAGAGTTCAGAGTGGGGGAGGAACCTTGACACATGCTGATGCTGCATCTGCCATTAAATACCACGGTTGATAGCCTCAGCTACTAGAATTGGACTGCTGTCTCCAGCAGAGGCTGCTGCTGCAAGGCTTGCTGGCTCCTGCAGTGAGAGGCTACTCCTCTTGCAAACCCAGAACAGGAATGGTGCAGCCTGTGTGGAGGAGCGGCAGGGCAGGGCAGGGCAGGGGGTAGCTCAGTGGCAACAGCTGCTTGTTCCTTTCATTTTCCTGCAAGGTGGGAAGGGAGACACAAACGTGAGGTAAGTGTGGTCAGACCACATGCTCGTGATCCCCTTCTGGCCTTGGAATTTATGACTCAAAAGAATGTGCGCCCCTCCTCTCCAGTCAGCTGCAGGGCTTAGGTGGGGGCAGAGTCTCAGGCAGATGGGAACAGCCTGCTGGAGAGGTAGCTGGGCAGGAAACCGTGTCTACCTTTCTGTACTGCAACCACTACTTTGTACAGTCAGACAAGCTCTCTCCTCTCACTGACCTGGAAGGACTGGTGGGAACTGACACAGTCTATACGTGTTTGAAGTTATGATTTCCTAAAAAGTTTGTGCAGTTTTCCTTTAGCTGCTGGGATTTGTTCCCCTTTTGAACAGAACTGGGAGCTAACACAAAAGGCAATTTCTGAAATAAAAGCAGTACTTTTGACACTCAGTCTCCTATTATAACTCTATTAAACTTGGAGAGTGGTCAGTTTGGATGAGCTATTACCAGCAGGAGAGTGAGTTTGTGTGTGTATGGGGGTGGGGGGGATGTGAGAAAACCTGGATTTGTGCAGGAAATAGCCCGACTTGATTATCATGCACATTGTGTAAAGAGTTGTCACTTTGGATGGGCTATCACCAGCAGGAGAGTGAATTTGTGTGTGGGGGGGTGGAGGGTGAGAACCTGGATTTGTGCTGGAAATGGCCCACCTGATGATCACTTTAGATAAGCTATTACCAGCAGGACAGTGGGGTGGGAGGAGGTATTGTTTCATATTCTCTGTGTATATATAAAGTCTGCTGCAGTTTCCACGGTATGCATCCAATGAAGTGAGCTGTAGCTCACGAAAGCTCATGCTCAAATAAATTGGTTAGTCTCTAAGGTGCCACAAGTACTCCTTTTCTTATTATAACTCTGTTGCTTAAAGTCCTTTTAGTCCATTACTTGTATTTGTGCAAAGCAGAGGCTTTTTCCGTTCCTTCTACAGTCTTAGTAAACTGTGGGAAGGCACACCATTTTTTTTTCTTTGCTTAGGGAGTCTCCTGTGACAATGTTCGAAAACCCCTGGCTTTAAAGGATTCAAGAGCAACAAATTATTCCTCCATTAAATATAATCAGCAGAAGAGTCTTACACACTTTAATGAAATATGTGCTACTTTTGCTTCTTATTCTAAAAACCTCTCTGCCTCAGATACCCCAAGCTCTGAAGTTACTCAGAAATATCTGGGAGTAGCAGGCTTGCCAAAGGGAAACTAAACTGACAAAAAGAAAAGGAGTACTTGTGGCACCTTAGAGACTAACCAATTTGTTTGAGCATGAGCTTTTGTGAGCTACAGCTCACTTCATCAGTTACAGACTAACACAGCTGTTACTCTGTAAACTGACAAAGAAACTTCTGGTAAAGAAATAACAGAAGAAGAAATTTTAGAGGCAATAGAAAATATGAAAAGCAGTTAAACTCCAGGAGCTGATGGCTTTCCAGCTGAGTTTTATAAGGAATTTAAGACAGTATTAGTGGGTCCTTTGAGAGAAACCTTCCCTGTTATTCTGTTAGGGAAAGAACTTACACAACCTATGAAAGAAGCTACTGCTGCTGTTCTCTCTAAAGTTGGAAAAAAACCTGACTGTATGAAGCTCTTATAGGCCTTCATCACTACCGAATAATGGCATAACTATTTTAGCAAAAACACTAGCTAGCCTATTGCAGTCCGTGCTCTCATCTTATATAAATCCAGATCAAAAGTGGATTCGTTAACACCAGACAAATGTCAGGCAATATTTGGAGAGTCCTTGGAGTCATCCATAATGCCAGATCAGCAAAAGATCACTTGGAACAGAGAAAGCTTTCGACAGAATAGAATGTTGCAAGTCCTATCCTGTGTGGACATTGGTTCCCAGGTCTATTATCTCCTTTACTTTTTGCACGGGCCATGGAGCATTTTGCACAAAGGAAAAGGATTAATGAATCTATCACAAGGATAAAACTTGCAGGAACCCACCAGAAACAAGTGCTGTATGTAGTTGATGTAATGTTATTTTTATCTAAACCAAAGATTTCCCTAAACTTAGTTTCTAAAGAAATCTATGACTTTGGGAAAACATCTGGATTTACAGTAAATTATGCCAAATCTGAAATTTACTAGCTGTAAATTTGCCAGACTCTGATAAGTTATTTCTTCAGAAAACATTTGGGTACAAATGGGCAATAAATTCTGTAAGATACCTGGGAATTCAAATGTCAAACAACCCATAAGAGCTCTATGATGTAAATGTCAAGCCACCACTTCTGCAAATGAAAAAAGATGTGAAATGCTGTGGGAAGTATGCAATTTCTTGGTTGGGAAGAACAGTCACACTCAAAATGAACATTTTGCTAAGGATATCTTTCGTGTTTTAAAATCTTTCTGAGATCATCCCAGCTAAAACCCTAGCAGGAATACAGAGGATGTTGTTGCACTTTATATGGAATAAGAAAAGATCAAGAATAAGGGCAGATACTTGTAGAGACCCACTGAACAGGGTGGACTAGCTGTTCCAGACAACTCAGAACAGTAGTGGATGGGAGGGTGCTCTAACCCTGCCAAACACTGAGTCTTTATTGGGCAAGAAAATTGTGGCAGTGTAAACATCGCTAGGTCACCATAGATTAACAAAAAAAAAACCCCACACCCTCCAGAAATATACATATGCTTGAGCAAAGACTACTCTATGCCTTTGGGATGGAACTAGAAAAAAGGTAAATTATTTTCCCTCACCAAAACACCCCTTGCGAATAATCCAGATCGTAATCCAAATCACAAACCAATGAGCTTTAAAGATTGGCAGAGCCATGGGATATATATGGTTGGGCAGCTATTCAGTAAAGAAACTTTTACTAACCTATTTAGAGATGAAAACTAGCATTAACAGGCGCATTTTCCCATGGTACTAGTACATTCAAGTTAGGCACTATGTTTTCAACTTTCTAAGAAAGCTGTTTTATACATCAAGATAACTCTAATAGAAGAACTGGCAACTGGTCAATTATGAAATAAAAAGTTATAACTAATCAATATCAATCTTCGTACCCAACTTTCCTAACAAAAAACCCCATCTGTATATGACACAGTGGGAAAAGGATCTGTATAGACAAATAACCCCAGAAGAATGGGGTTAGAGAGACTGAGAGACAGAGAAGTGTTGGAGAAATAGTAGTGAAAGAGGAGATTTTTATACATAGGGGATAAGCATTGGAGAAACTGTGGTGAAAGAGGAGATTTTATACACATATGATCATTAGATAGTATTGAGATACAATTTGTAACCAAATATCACACCTTGTTCGATATTTATTACCAAGTGAGCCTTTGGGGACCCTTCTGGGCCTTCCTAGTAGAACTAGTCACACAAATGGAAATTAAAAATTAATCTCTCATCTGCTGTTAGATCCTGGGTTACTGATACCTCTTAAAAAGAAAAGGAGGACTTGTGGCACCTTAGAGACTAACAAATTTATTTGAGCATAAGCTTTCGTGAGCTACAGCTCACTTCATCGGATGTAGCTCACGAAAGCTTATGCGCAAATAAATTGGTTAGTTTCTAAGGTGCCACAAGTCCTCCTTTTCTTTTTGCGAATACAGACTAACACGGCTGCTACTCTGAAACCTGATACCTCTTAGTGGAGAAAAAGAACAGTGCAGCTCTCAAGGAATGGTTCAAAAACTACGGGAGGTCGTTATGCAAATATAATACATCTATTATGTACCCAGCCAAAGAAACTGAGGACAAATAGATATTTAAATGTTTAGTTACCATTTATTCAACACTCAGAGTACATTCACCTGCAACAAAAACAGCACAGCTGTCCAATTTTTTTTGAATATTACAATTGGATAGGCATTCCTGGTCTGTTCAATACATGCAATCAGAGATTCCATTCATCTTAATAAAAATCACTAAAAATGACATCTTAGGTGTTGTAAAGAGGTAATATCGTAATAAATAGAAAGATCTGATGACTGTACTGCTGTATAATGTCTCTTTAAACAAAAGCTTGCGACTTTAACAACTGTTGTTTTGTTTCTGATATTTATACAGCAGGGATTTGTAAACCTGTTAATACTTCCTAAATAAATAAATATTAAAAACAAGACATGGAATTTCTAGGTGGAAGGGTAAACAGGTCAGCCTCTTTAGGGACAGCCATTAAACCAATGGAGTTAATTGAGGTTCAAACTGCAGCATAAGAAGCAGCCTCTATACTGCCAGATCTGACCTATGCCAGTGCAATGCGCTGCTGCCCCAACAATAGTTCATTTTCTAGCAGTGTGCCAAGTATCAAGCTCAGACAGAGCTGCACTACAGAGAAATGCAGTTGGCTCCCTGCCAAACCCTTGTATACACAATTATCCTTAGTTTATTGATAATTACTGACCTGCATCAAACCAAATCCATTTCCACGATCACCCCAGCCACGCTTTAGGGCCTTTCCAGCATGCGACTCTCGAGAGATGATACCAGCGATCACAGCTGGATCCACACATCTTTTTCTGCCAGCGCTCTTAATGATGGTTTTATATTTTTTCATAGAACGTAAGTCTCTCTTTGCAATCTTTGCTGAAGCACGAACTTCTGTAGTAAGTGGAAAAGTAAATATGTTTTCTTAATAATTGTAATATCAACAAGAGATTTCCTAAGCACAGAGCTCCGTTCTGCCATCTGATAGTCCTTGTGCAAGTCATGTGCATTGTGAATTTTACATTATGAATTTTAACAATGTGTCAAGGCAAAAAAAAAATTGTGCATTGAAATAATGTGTAAAATCTGGGTTTAGTTCTTAGCCCCAGGATGAAGGTGAATGGGCTTGCTGAGGAGACGGAGGGGGAGAGTGCTCAGATTCTGAAGAGAAATCAGCTGCAACCTGTCACTCTCTGGATGATGCAGAAGTGATGTTGACAGAAGCTAAGAGGAGTCACATCTACCCCTCTATGGCCAGAAGGACAGAACTGTAGTATTTGAAGTTGAGAGGCAGATTCAAAATGGTGGGATTCTTAGGAACAGATGCAGAAGATTTATGGGAATGGGAAGCTGTCATTTGAGATAGTTCCCAATTGTTGCACTTTCCTCTCAGTTTCTTTTAGTCTCAGCACCATTTCATGCTAGGAGGAAATCTCAGTCCTACTCAACATGGGAGGCATTAAGTGCAATTTTGTTTGTAGAGTAAAAGAATAAGAAGCTCCTTCAGTTTTTACCAGCAATACCAGATTAACTGTTGATCTGATGTGCCTATAGCTGGCATAAAATAGCGAGTACTAAACAAGAGTCTGGGAGTCAGGAATTCCTAAATACTAATCCCAGCTTTGCCACTGACTTGCTGAGCACCGTTGGGAGATTCAGTTGGGCCAAATTTTAATAAGTGACTGTTCATTTTGGGTGTTCCAAATAGAGACACCTGGGGCCTAATTTCTGAGGATTCGGAGTAGAATCATAGAATTATAGAATATCAGGGTTGGAAGGGACCCCTGAAGGTCATCTAGTCCAAACCCCTGCTCGAAGCAGGACCAATTCCCAGTTAAATCATCCCAGCCAGGGCTTTGTCAAGCCTGACCTTAAAAACCTCTAAGGAAGGAGATTCTACCACCTCCCTAGGTAACGCATTCCAGTGTTTCACCACCCTCTTAGTGAAAAAGTTTTTCCTAATATCCAATCTAAACCTCCCCCACTGCAACTTGAGACCATTACTCCTCGTTCTGTCATCTGCTACCATTGAGAACAGTCTAGAGCCATCCTCTTTGGAACCCCCTTTCAGGTAGTTGAAAGCAGCTATCAAATCCCCCCTCATTCTTCTCTTCTGCAGGGTAAACAATCCCAGCTCCCTCAGCCTCTCCTCATAAGTCATGTGTTCTAGACCCCTAATCATTTTTGTTGCTCTTCGCTGGACTCTCTCCAATTTATCCACATCCTTCTTGTAGTGTGGGGCCCAAAACTGGACACAGTACTCCAGATGAGGCCTCACCAATGTTGAATAGAGGGGAACGATCACGTCCCTCGATCTGCTCGCTATGCCCCTACTTATACATCCCAAAATGCCATTGGCCTTCTTGGCAACAAGGGCACACTGCTGACTCATATCCAGCTTCTCGTCCACTGTCACCCCTAGGTCCTTTTCCACAGAACTGCTGCCTAGTCATTCGGTCCCTAGTCTGTAGCGGTGCATTGGATTCTTCCATCCTAAGTGCAGGACCCTGCACTTATCCTTATTGAACCTCATCAGATTTCTTTTGGCCCAATCCTCCAATTTGTCTAGGTCCTTCTGTATCCTATCCCTCCCCTCCAGCATATCTACCACTCCTCCCAGTTTAGTATCATCCGCAAATTTGCTGAGAGTGCAATCCACACCATCCTCCAGATCATTTATGAAGATATTGAACAAAACCGGCCCCAGGACCGACCCTTGGGGCACTCCACTTGATACCGGCTGCCAACTAGACATGGAGCCATTGATCACGACCCGTTGAGCCCGACAATCTAGCCAGCTTTCTATCCACCTCATAGTGCATTCATCCAGCCCATACTTCCTTAACTTGCTGACAAGAATACTGTGGGAGACCATGTCAAAAGCTTTGCTAAACTCAAGAAACAATACATCCACTGCTTTCCCTTCATCCACAGAACCAGTAATCTCATCATAAAAGGCGATTAGATTAGTCAGGCATGACCTTCCCTTGGTGAATCCATGCTGGCTGTTCCTGATCACTTTCCTCTCATGCAAGTGCATCAGGATTGATTCTTTGAGGACCTGCTCCATGATTTTTCCAGGGACTGAGGTGAGGCTGACTGGCCTGTAGTTCCCAGGATCCTCCTTCTTCCCTTTTTTAAAGATTGGCACTACATTAGCCTTTTTCCAGTCATCCGGGACTTCCCCGGTTCGCCACGAGTTTTCAAAGATAATGGCCAATGGCTCTGCAATCACAGCCGCCAATTCCTTCAGCACTCTCGGATGCAACTCATCCAGCCCCATGGACTTGTGCACGTCCAGCTTTTCTAAATAGTCCCTAACCACCTCTATCTCCACAGAGGGCTGTCCATCTCTTCCCCGTTTTGTGGTGCCCAGTGCAGCAGTCTGGGAGCTGACCTTGTTAGTGAAGACGGAGGCAAAAAAAGCATTGAGTACATTAGCTTTTTCCACATCCTCTGTCACTAGGTTGCCTCCCTCATTCAGTAAGGGGCCCACACTTTCCTTGGCTTTCTTCTTGTTGCCAACATACCTGAAGAAACCCTTCTTGTTACTCTTGACATCTCTTGCTAGCTGCAGCTCCAGGTGCGATTTGGCCCTCCTGATATCATTCCTACATGCCCGAGCAATATTTTTATACTCTTCCCTGGTCATATGTCCAACCTTACACTTCTTGTAAGCTTCTTTTTTATGTTTAAGATCCGCTAGGATTTCACCATTAAGCCAAGCTGGTCGCCTGCCATATTTACTATTCTTTCGACTCATTGGGATGGTTTGTCCCTGTAACCTCAACAGGGATTCCTTGAAATACAGCCAGCTCTCCTGGACTCCTTTCCCCTTCAAGTTAGTTCCCCAGGGGATCCTGGCCATCCGTTCCCTGAGGGTGTCGAAGTCTGCTTTCCTGAAGTCCAGGGTCCGTATCCTGCTGCTTACCTTTCTTCCCTGCGTCAGGATCCTGAACTCAACCAACTCATGGTCACTGCCTCCCAGATTCCCATCCACTTTTGCTCACAGAGTACTCACAGATCCTGGTAACTTTAATTAGAGGTGCTTCTGTGAGCACTTCTGGAAATCAGACCCTCAGTGTTTGAACTTGAGCATCATACAAAACAAAACAGAAGCCACTTGTGAAAAAATTGGCTGTCATCTTTCTGGGCCAAAATCATTTGTAGTGTAACTGCATTGAAGCCAGTGGAGTTACACCAAAATTTTATTAAGTCCCTCCTGTCTGTCTTAGTTTCCTCATCTGTGAAATAGTACTTAGCCAATAGGAATGTTATGAGGTTTAATCAATTAATACTTGTAAAGTACTTTAAAAATGTAAAGTACTATGGATCATTGTGATGACTCTGCGTGCTGAAATACAGCAACAAAACAGCAGAATTATACTCACCACAGTAGTGTAAGCCTTCTGCTCTTGCAGTTCTACAGGAAGCCCCAGAGGTATCAACCTTGTTTATGTCACCAAAGCAACCAGTCTGACTCTCAGAAGTATCTGACCAATTAAATGGAGAGATTTTACATTACGAACCTTTTGTGAACATAAGTAAAGCTAAAAGAATTCAAAGTCATGAACCAGACTCCGGTCCACTCTCAGATGGGTTCCGTTTCATAGCTTGGGGGGGCAGGAAAGAGGGAGTTATTTCTCTTGGACAGGAGGAATTGCTAGCCAGAAGTCACTACCTCAGTTTTCACAGGACCTTTCCTTCACAGATCTATCTTTTAATTTGGCTCTAAAAGAGGCAACACCATGCCCTCTATATGAGTGCCTCTCACTGAGACCACCCTATCGCCACTTCTTGCAAGAGTCATCCCTGATTCTAAGAGCCAAATTAGTCTGAAATAGTTTATTTATATTCCATTTGCTCTTGAACCAAACTTGTTCTTTCACATGGAGCAGTTGCCTGAGTCTCCTGAGGAAAGGCAGGACCAGCTTTTATTTTTGGAATCCTGGGACTCATCCTCAGTTGTTTAGCCACACAAGGGATAAGAAGCCCAATCCTTCCTCCCTAGGTTTATTGGCCTTTACCCTACATGAGATTGTGGGGAACTGGTCCTTTGGTTGGCCATGGAGGTATTTTGCCTTTTTCTTTTTGACTACTTTGCCCCCTTCTGGCACGTGGGGTTAGAGTCCCAAAGAGGTATAGACAGAGGGCTGTTCCCCAAGTCTGCAGCCAAGGCTACAGTCAAGCTGCTGTCCAGAGAAGGATGTCCAGGATGAGAGAGGTGCTCCCCTCATCCCCAGGGAAAGCCAAAAAGGTAAAACCTATCACACACCCCATCCCCACAAATATCTTTTTACATTCTTGCTTGGAAGTGAGCTTAGTGAAATAGAAATAGACCCCAGACTCACCAATGAGGGCAGCAAGACCCAGAATCATCAGCGTTAGTAGCATGGGGACAGTTCTTCTCAAGCACCCAAGAGAGTCGGAAAATAAATCTGCAAAGAAATGAAAGTATCTAAATGTACAATGCTGCTATGAAGAAGTACTGTTGTCTGACCCTTTTAGAGGTTAATAATGATTGTAATGATGGCCAATTGATCTGACTGTGGTAAGGTTCTTTTCCCCAGAATCAGGCTACAGAACTATGGAGTTTGATATCTTGCGGGGAGCCTTGGGGTGGATGACAGGGACACTCACACTGAGAACCAAGTAAAGGCTTTGATACCTTTATTAGAATAAGGAACAAAGCCAGAAAAGATCTCAACCACGTGAAATGACAGAGATAATGGAGTATTGGGGCTATCTGTGGTATCATTCTTTACATAAGCCCTTAGAAGTGCATACTCACACCCTTCATTAAGGACCTGGTGGTAAGAGACAAAAGACCAGCTCTGTCTCTAGCATGCCACAGTGTCTGATGGACCAAGTTCCTCAATGAGCTGAAGGGTCAAGTGGTAGAAAGAAGACAGTGATGGAAGAAGCCCAGAAAGAACTCTCGACCACATGGTGGCTGCCCTGTTATAGGGCCTGAGCATCATCTGTTCATGCTCAGTCCTCCATGCCCAAATTTAGCCTTTTCACCCACATAATACTGAGGTGCACTTATTCTGTAGGTTAACATATTGATCCATAAAAAGAAAAGGAGTACTTGTGGCACCTTAGAGACTAACCAATTTATTTGAGCATGAGCTTTCGTGAGCCACAGCTCATGGCTCACGAAAGCTCATGCTCAAATAAATTGGTTAGTCTCTAAGGTGCCACAAGTACTCCTTTTCTTTTTGCGAATACAGACTAACACAGCTGTTCCTCTGAAACCTGTCATATTGATCCATGTAACTGCCATCCTACCCGTCACCCCTTTCTTAAGTGGATTTGTGGTTATTATTTCTATGTTCCTTGTGGTAGCATTTACTGGTAAATTCTAACTCCTACCGTTGAGCAAGCTCTCCTTAGTTTCCAAAATCTAAAGGTAACTGTTAGGCCGTTTATCTACGCCAAAGGTTGCAGCCTGTTACACTTAACTGTACTTATGCTAACTCGCTTCAGCTAAATATCTTACAGGATCCAGGCCTGTAGGTTTCTTGTGTTACAGTTGAATATAATGAAAGCAGAATATAATAAAAGCAAGGCAGTGAATATAATAAAGGCAAGCTAGCCCTATGGACTACAGTACAAAAACCATTTTTTAAATGATGGGGTATCATTCTTTACTGAATGTGCAAACGCTGAGATACACTGTAGAAGACAGCCAAGAGAATAAATTCTGAATCAAGCTGCAATAATGCAGTTTTGTTGACATTCATATATTGTCTTTCATGGAACATCTTAATAGCTTATTTCCAAATACAAATCCTGGTAATATTTGATCTGGACTTCATATTATTAATAGTGTTTAGTATGACCTACTGCTGCTATATATGTACTTTTATTCTATGCCAAGGTACCCTACACACTCTGTGCAGATGTTTACTAAATTCATTATTTCTTTGAGCAGGGCACAGGGGATTATAACCCCAAGCCCCCTTGTAGCTGCTCTATGACTCTAGTTTTCTAAAAAGTAATCTGAATAATAAGCAGATGCCTCTTATCTTGAAGTCACTGTACAGCAGAGACACAGTAACAACCACTAAAGGGCAAATTTTTGAGTGTTTTCTCAAGCAGAGCTTTCACTGAATTCAATGAATAAGGAATTGCTCTTCCATTACCACCCATAGGATTTTACTAATGAGCAGAATTGAGACTAGGTCCCACTCTGAATGATCTTGGTATTTCACTCACCTGTCTTCAGTTTCTCTTCTCCTAGAAGGTGGTTGTTTTGAAGAGCTTTATATACACTAGGAGGTTCCTTCACTCTTTATTCAAAATAACCATCAGATGAGATTCACGTTTCAAGATTATAATTAAATTATAATTTAATTTATTTAGTTTCAAAATTATAATTAAAACAAACCAGCATCTGTCATTATGAGAGTTTGTCTTTGGAAAGGTATAACCTCAGTTCCGCTATGTGGCAAGATTCAGATTTCAAAAGAAATAAATTCCCCTTCCCATGTGTTCTACTTTTCATTAGCTTTCTCTCCCTCCAGTCTGTGACAAAATCCAAAGCAAAGATGAGGCATTCATCCTCTCTCCAGGAATGTATTGCCCAGTTTTGTTGTGGTGTCACAGACCCCCTCAGGCGAGACTGTGGCAACAAACAAACAAAAAGCATTTCCCCTTCCAGGCAGGGGAAACTAATCACTAGAGGATGGCGCACTTCATTGCTGCTGTTGTCCAAGCTCATTGCACATACCAGAGGCTCCTTGCATTCCTCTGTTTGCCCCACAAGCTGGGTGTGAGATGGCTGCCTTCTTGGCTGACACCCCAGGGGCTGAACTGGGAACTTCAAGAGCTAAAAGCATAAGCTACCAAAGCTTGAACTAAAGAACCATACTGGACCTGGTGACTGTTACAACACATATCCTCTACTTATTGGGCACAGAGGTGGTCCTGTAGTACACACTCACTACATCACTGCATATGCACCCTCCCATCTCTCTCTATTTTAGGGACTCCTTGCAAACTCCCCCTTCATGCCAGGGGCTGTATTTGCCCCCCACATTCTCCTCTTCCCTTCATGCCATGGCTCTGTGTCCCTCATTTTCACTACCCTCAGCCTTCAGTGAAGGAGACTTAATTCCATCAATGCCCCTGGATGGAAAGGGACAGGTGTATGGCTGGTAGCTTCTCTACTTCTCTTTCTCCCCCTAACCATAAAGCAGGTTTGGTGAGGCAACATGCTTGGAAGGAATGAAGACGTCTCCTTTTCTCTCCTCTACCTCTGACTCCCTCGGCTGGCTCAGCGTCCACCCCAGAACTGTTAGGTAAGTCTCAGCATTGAGAGTAAGGAGCAACGTTAAGGTCAAATGGCTTGGAACTTGTGGGAAAAACTTTTTTTTTCCTGAGGCCCAGTACGGAGAAATCGGAAATTTGAGGGAAAATTGAAAAGAAACGGTTCTATGAAATATTTTCTCTCAGAACGAACAGTGAAAAAGTTTTAGAGGGATGTTTAAAATAAACTGCTGCCCATCCGCCCTTCAAAATGCTTTGTAATAATAACTAATAATTATGCAAAATTATATCAGCATGACAATGTCAGGTCAGGTCTATTCACATACTAATTCTGAGCCCAAAGGATATAACCTTCCTTTTAGTTTATAACAATAGTGGTGCTTTCTATTTTCAACATTTTATATTTGTTTCCTATGCGCCAAGAGGTTACAAAGAAGCACTTAAATACCTTAATGTGAAACTGCAGCTCCAGACCTAATACTAGCTATATTCATCCTTAGTATTCGGATTAACACTAAAGAATCTGTACATAACTATCTCATTAGTATTCCAAACAGTACTTTCTATGTGCTAGCTAAATTATACAGAATACATTTCTGATTATTAAAGGAGTAAATAAAGTTTAGCTTTGATAAGCAAGTACCTACTACAGATATTTCAATTTTTTCCAGAATTTCCATTTTCATAGGGGAAAAAGGTATTTTTTTCCCCTGCCTTCAAAATTTCTGGAAATGTTACATCCCTAGCTCTGCCTATTGATGCCTAGAACATTCCCTGGAATTTTGGAGGTGATCAGATGTGGTGCTCAAAAGTTATCTCATTACATCCAGAGACATGCCATCAAGATGAATGTAGGGCAGGGGTCGGCAACCTGTGGCACGTGTGCCAAAGGCGGCACGCGAGCTGATTTTTGGCGGCACTCGGCTTCCAGCTGGGGTTCCGGCCGCCAGCCCCGCTCAGCCCGCTGATGGCCTGGATGAACGGAACCTGGGCCAGCAGCAGACTGAGCGAGCTGGCGGCTGGGACCCCGGCTGGCAGGGGCTGATGGACAGAACCCCAGACCGGCAGCAGGCTGAGCGAAAGCCCCATGAAATAGGCCACAGCTGTCAGCCATACTCCAAACACTGTGTAGCAGGGTACAGTACCACCTGCTGTGGACGGGGGACTCTTGTTTCAGCCCCTGGAGGCTGCCGTGATTCTTGCTGCCACCAATATGGCAGGAGTCTCTCGAGCGCGTAGACGGCAGCTAGGAATGGGAGGAGGCACAGAGCAGCGCACACAAGCTTCTGTGGTGCGAGTTCAGAGCAGCCATATAGAGGCAGAGTACAGGGCTCCTTGCTCCCAGCGTCTTTCCATGCTGCCTCTGCTCCTGCTTCTCCAGGCCCAATGAGGAGGAAGTGGGGTGGGGGGACTTCTGAGCTTTTTGAGGGAATTTTTTCTGAATCTGGTGATAGTAGATGTCAGGTAAGAAGAGATGTTTTTTCTGAGCCTGGTACATTTGGGGTATGTGCGTGTTGATCCTGAGACTGGGAGTGTGGTGTTGGAAAGGCATCAGGCCCAACCGGGATGGGTCCAAGCTGTGGAGAGGTCCGGTAAGACGAGAGGGAGGATTCCCAGTCTGGGATGTGAGGGTGTTTGAGCAGGTTGGGGCAGCTTAGAGCTTGCTGAGCTGGGGAAGGCATGGGATGGATTGGATTCGCAGGGTTTAGTGCAGTGAGGTGGGAATCGGCTGGTGAATGAGAGTGTGGGTTAAACACCCCACTGTCTTCCTGAAACCATTTCCTCTCTAGCTAGCTGTGTTTGATGATCCAAGGTTTGTGCACTAGGTACAAATCTGGCACAGGATAGCGCTGGCCTCAGAGGCTTCCCTTACCAGGCCTAAAAGGCTGGTATGCCATGTTACACGCTATGCGGTGTTTGCCTTGTGTACGAGGGGCCTGTGACCTTCATTTATGGTGGTATTGACCTCTCTTGTGGCCCTATCTGTTCACTGATCACTGGCTCGGATATAACAGTTAATGGGTATTTTTTTCCACCTTTTATGAGGTTATGCAGGATTGAGTGTCTCCCGTCACTGACAACACTTTCATTATACATACTAATTTACCATGCTAGTAACTATTGGATGACTGACACATCTGCATATGAAGTGATGTTCTACACTTCTGGGTTCTTCTGAAATTTGGCTTGTCTATTGTTCAAACAATAATCCTACACCCAGACTCTTGATCACACTGTGTGGGATGCAATCACACACTCAAGGATGAAATATTTCTGTTTGTGGAGCGTTGCCAGGAATCATCAGGCCAGGGAATTTCTGGTTTGTACTTGCAAGAATAAATAATTATTCATTATTCTGCGAGCATTAGGCTTCGTCTTTAATTTCACAACCTCCCTGCCAAGAGGTTAGTGGCTTTGCATAAAACTTGGACTCCAGGTTACTCCTGCACAATACACTTCATTAACAAAATGATGATTGTGCAAATGTACTTTCCTCACAAGAATACAAACTGGCAGGCTTCCCAGAAAAGGAGATGAGAGGCCTTGGAAAGACCAGGGTCAGATTTCCAAAGTCTGTCTCTCTAAAACTTGCAGAAATAGGCCTCTTAGCTCTCGTTTTATTACAGTACCTCCCGCAAGTTGCCTCTTTCCTACTAAAGTCAGTATCTGCCGCCATTGGGCTTTGTTTTCAAACTGTTTCCAG